CGTCTTTCAAAAGGGCACTTTTTTGGACTGAGGGCAAAAGGGCAAGTGCTTCAGCACCACCTCGTCTCTATCTGTGCACGCCAGTGTCTAACAGCATAACTTAACTTAATATAAAATATGTATGATTATATTGGATGCTGTCTTACCATGATGTTTTTAGTGTATTTTGTTTTTGACCTTATTATTTCAATGTGCTTTGTTGGAACTATTTTTATTGCTTTTTAAATTGGACGCATCTCTCTTTTAAAATAGATTTTTAACATCAGTGGACTAATCTGGTTAAATACAGTAGAGGTATAATAATAATGCAGAAAATAAACACACGTGTGCTTCTTATAGTAATGAAAGAATCACAGCAGGTGTCTCCAGCAGACATACAGTATAAGACTGTGAGTAGGAATACTGCCTTCTGTTAACGGAAAGTACAGTGCATGTGTGTGAATGACCATGTATGGGTTTGTGAGGTCTCATGGACTCATCTCCGACATTCTGCAGGCCCAGACCTCGCTCGCCGACCTCTTGGAGGATTACCTGGAGAACCTTGATGATGAACAGTTAAAGAAGTTTAAATCAAAACTGAGTCACACGGAGTATAATGAGTTAGACACACTTTCCTGGGGTCAGGTGAAGGGCTTGGATAGAATAGACCTCGCCAACAAAATGAGAGATTACTACGGTGAAGCTGATGCTCTCAATGTCGTGCTTATAATCCTGAAGAATATGAACCTGAATGATCTTGCTCAGAGACTGAATAAAGACCTGCAGGAGGGTAATCATATTTTTAACCTTTCTTGTTTTTGTCTAAATTGTAACCTTTATAATCTCTTGAAAATTAACATATTGTACAGGATTATATGGGAAATGATGAACAGTTTGTTAGATACTGATGCTGAACACTGAAATGAATTTGAAATTTTTCCTTTTTTTCCTTGGGTCCCCTGCCCACTCTTCCTTTTTCTATACTTTTAGTATGCGCGGGGGGCGGGGGGTGTTTGGGCAGCCAGTTGACCTTGGATTTTTTTCCTCTCTACTTGGGAGTTTTTGGTTTCTCTCCTCCGTTGTCATCTGGCTTTCTTTCTTTTATTTCTTTGTCTTCTCTTTTCCGTGTTTTTGAATTATTCTGCATATGATGCAGGAATGTATCCCAACATGCTCATGTAAAGCACCTTGGACTCGGTAGTGAAATGCGCTATATAAAAATACATTGACTTGAATCCTGTATATCAGGGCGACCCGTAGCATAGGCAGTACAGGAAAATGCCAGGGGCGCCGTCCATTCCAAAGGGGTAGAAAGGGAAGGGGGAAAATAAAAATTTTGACTTTTACTATGTGTCATGCCCAGCTCCAGGTCCTCCGGCTCGGGGTCGGCGGGCTCCGCTGGGTCCCCCCCTAGTTCCTCGGTGCCGGTCCTCGGCCTCACCTCCAGCTCCGTGTTGCCCGCCTCCGGGCCCCCCTACTTTGGCGGGGCGTCGGATGGCGCCTTCGCCGGCTCCGGCTTCCCCTCTGCCTGCTCCGGCTTCCCCCTTCTGCCTGCCTGCGCCGGGGTTCCCTCCTGCTCCCTCCGTGTCCCCTTCGTCTCTCCCTCGTACCGTTCCCTTGGCCCCTGTGTGGTCCCCTCCTGCTCCCTCCACCCTCTCACCTGTGGCCCCTCCGGCCGCTGCCCGTCGCCCGCCTGGGCTCCCTCGGGCTCCCCTTTGTCCCCCTTCCATTCCGGTCTCTTCGTCCCGCCTGTTTCTGCTCCTCGTCCCTCTGTTCCTTCTCCGTTCACTCCTGGCCCCTTCGTGTCGCCTGTGGGTGTTCCCTCCGTGTCGCCCTTTTCCATCTGCCTGTCTGCATCCCCCATCCTTTTTCAGGTCTTGTCTTTCTTCTGGTCCCTGTTCCTGTTCAGTGTTTCTGTCTTGTTCCCGGTTCCCCGTTGATGTCTTGCTTTTGTTTTTCAGCTCCTGCCCCGCGTCTCGTCCGTCGCCTCCTCTCGGGCGTGCCTTTGGGGGGGGGTTATGTCACGCCCAGCTCTGTACGATCCTTGTGTGTGCCACGCCCACCTCGTTACCTCGTGTTTATGCCTGATTGTTCTCAACTGTTGCTCGTTAAACTCAGTTTGTCTTGTGTATTTAGTCCTCGTCTGAGTCAGTCTTCCCCAGACTTGTCATTGATGTTTGTAGTTGTGCTTCCCCCGGTCCTTTTGCTAATAAACCCCGTGTTACCCGACTTCCTGGCTCCTTTTTCCTGCTTCCCGGATCGCCTGCAAGCCGTTGCGTGACACTATGTTGATTTATTACTATTTTACACTATTATTTCAAAATAATAAAAAGCTTATTAAATTAGCAAACCTTATTAAATAAGGGATATTTTTTTGCTTTGCTCAGCGCCCCCCCTCCCCTCTGTATCACACACTGTAGGCGTCTTTATGGAACATTGATACGATTGATAAGTGTGTGATATGATTAATGGTATCTAATTCAAACAGACACTATCATGTCAGAAAGACCAAAGCCCTCTGGTGCCCGAGGAAGAAAAAGAAGAAGAGAAGAGGAGGAAAAACAGGAAAAAGACAGAGGTAATAATCACTAATCAGAGTAACTGTTGTGTTTCGTGGAGCAGAGTGTTACTAGCTTACCTTGGATAATTCGGCATTTGGTAAGTTAATAAATAGCTAGAATTAATGTCAGTTCCTCCCAGCGTAAATTCATTAGGGAAAGTTGGAAATACTTTTCAGGTGTTTGTGATTGGCAATAACCTACAGCATCATTTTCAGAAATTCACTTTATCTTTAAAGTGTCCTGCTGCACCTGCATGAACCGTCCACTGTGTCTGTCTCAGGATAGTAAACTGCAATAGTCAAATAAAATGCTTTTCTGTTCCCATCCCCCTTATTAACTAATAGTTTAAAACCTTTGCATTTTTATTATTGATTAGTCTTATATGCATAGCAAACAGCATTATCATGTGAGCGACGTGCTCATTGAATGAGGTTTTGTGCATGAATGCCAGCCAGCTGTAATTTCTCTTGCTGTTTACTATGTGTTTAGAAAGTTATAATCTGGCTTAGGTGCTGTTATTGGCCGGGTTTAATGCCACCCCAGCCAGAGCCAGTCAGACCTATAGGTGACATAGGCAACCGCCAGAGTCCTGCACGGGTCCACTTTTGGAGACCCGCACAGTACAGCACCACACCCGCCCGTGCACCCGTGATTATTTCAAAGTTAAATCTGCACCCGCCCGAGCCCGTTAACATTCCGCCCGTTACCCACCCGTACCCGTTATAAATTACACACACTTATATTTTCTATGCACCTCTCAACGTGACAAGCGCTAGGCCTACATGAATTTTGAATTGAAACGAAAAAGTCCATTTAACACAAAATCAAATCAGATACAGTAAATCTAAGCTATCCATACTGTGAAGAGCGTGAAAGAGAGAAAACGATGACACGCTTCAGCAAGGATTCAGACTTGTATGTGAATGTTTGTCGAGGCGGTTATCTAATGGTGCATTCGTTTTTCTCTCGGAACTCGGAAATTCCGAGTTGAGTGACATCACGTCCGACAATCTCCCGTTCGAGCTACCCACATCTCGGAACAAACATGGCTGCCTCCATGAACACGCTGCTGTGTGTTGTTGCTCTATATTTTAGATTTGGAGTGAGATTATTTTTTCCGAGAGACAAACAAACAAGAAACACGAACTAGTCAAATCACTTTAAATCTTTATAAAATATTTTAGCACATTCATAGCAATATTCTTTTTTTGAGAGGCAAACAAACTACAAACAAACCAAAGACACTAAAAAGTCTGGTAAAAATCTGATATTGCATGATAGGATACGGTTTACGGTCATGATATGGTATTTTCTAAATCGAACACGTGCAGTTACATTGATAACTATTAATACATTTAACAAAATAAACATTTTTAAAGATTTATAAAATAGAATTACTGTTGAGTGTGTAAGCCGCCATGTTGAAATCACGTCACAGGGGCAACTCGGACAACAAAATCTTGTGCCACATCAACGTCATAAAAGAGGCGTGTTTCCGATGGGAAGTGGCGTTTTTCATGACGTTTCGTGACATTTTCATCCCAACCGGTACCCGTGGGTACCTGACCCAGTGCAGGAGTCTGGCGGCTGCCTAGGACAACACCTTCTGAGGGAGTGCTGACTTGCCAGCCAGTTTCACTTTGCCTCAAGCAGCGGGCGCTGGTGGTGATGCTCTCCTAGGGCTCCACATCAGCTGGGACCGGAACTGCTGTACAGATATCTGGGGCTTCAGGAAAAATATGTAGGATGTGAAATTTAAAGCTTAATTTTAACACAATGAAATAGTAAAAAGTGTTTGTGTGTGTCGGGGGGGATTAGGTATCCCAACAAAAATGCCCTGTTATTATTACAGTGCGGGGACCTTTTCTCAGGTCCCCACAAACATCTGTGAATGCAATCAAAAAACTGAACATGCCAAAAATCTCGTATTTTGTTTGGTAATTCATGGTAAAGGTTAGGGCTGGGTAGGGGTTAAGGTCGTTATGTTGGGATTAATGTTGTGTGTTTTAATCCTCTTACCACACTGGTCAGGATCAAATTGAGAATTAGTGAATTTTCCTCTCATTTTTCTTCAGGGGAGCTCATGTTGAAAACGATGAAATGTAACCTGAAGCAGAAATGTGAGTGTGTATTTGAAGGGAAAGCTAAGGGAGGACAGCCAACACTTCTCAGTGAGA